TCGAGAGGATGTAATATCAGGAAAAGTATTCATGGCAGAGGAAGAGGTCCGTGGTCCTGAAATGCTAAGGAGAGAGAAGTTCTCCATGTTCTGACTCTTGGTAAGTTATGGAGATGTCTTTCTCTTCCTCCTTAGATGCTAGTTGTGTTGTCCAGGTGATAAACATTCTGAGATCGTTTGACATCATAAGAAGGGCACGTAATTCCACTTGCTGGCACAGCTTCCCCAGTTGCTAGCCAAGGAAAGGCTTCCATCCCCACTTTCCTTAGGCTAACTCTAAATTTGTATTATTTCACTTGATCCTACTGTTCCTAAGTAACTTTTACATACATTGTATCTGGCCTGGGTATCACCCAAGGAAGAATAAGAATCATGGTAACATTGGCTCTATAGGGCCTTGGTGCCCTCCTATGTTCTTCTTTCTCTGGTCACTTCCATGCCTTCTCCCTCGGCCCTAAAAATGTGTTTTTCCTTATTAATTCCCTTGTCGCCTCCCTACCCTCAAAAAATAAAAATAAAATCGAGCACCCTGGTCCAGGCTATCTTTGTTGCCACGGTCTTCCATTAGGATGTGTGGCAGTACACTAAGTAATATAGGAGGGGAAGACATCATTTGGAAGAATCACGGTCCTTACTGAGAAGGGCCTGGTAAAGCTGTAAGTGTCTGGGGCATGCGGGAAAGTGTGTGGACTTGCCTGTAGGGAGAGGAGAAAGCGGAGTAGGAGAGAGAAGGAGAATTAGGCTTTCTTTCTGTATTTCTTCAACGTGCCTAACCAGTGAGGGGGCAGTGAGGGAAATAGGAACGTTAATACCATTCCTTCACTGAGATCATAGGAGTGTGTAATATAATAAATGCCCCAGTTTGCTAGAAGCAGCTGTAGTGGAAATAATAGTTGTGGCTTACCTTGGAAACTTGGACTGTCTTAACACTGTCATTTGAGGCATCATTGTATAGTGAAAAGAATAACGGAGTTGAGGGGGAGGTCCCAGCCCTCGCGTGGCCACCAAATAACAGTATGTCTTTGAAGTCATTCCCCCATTTTGGACTTCCTTGCCTTCATCAGTCACGTGGAAGGGCTGGAATCGATGACCTCTTATTCCTTCCAGGTGGAACATTTTAGGATACCATGATTTGCATACTAGGAAATGACAGGTAGATATTGATAAGTGATACTGATGAGACCTGGAACACCTGGGATTTCATTTTCCCTTTTTCCATTCAATTTCCACCACTGACAACAATAACAAGCCTAGTGCTTTAAAAACACTTTAAAAAATAGATAGTGGGGGACATTTTCCCATTTATGAAAGAGGTGAAAGGCAAAGCTGATTCAAAGCCAGTCATTTACTTAGCTGGTCATCTCTAAGATTCCCATTATACCCCAGTCTGGCCAGAGGCATTCCCCTGGCATATCAGTATTGGAGGCTCAGGGGCAGTAATAGACACCTTCCTGTACTGGTCACTTCATACAATGTTTCTTTCTTTCTTATTTCTTTCCTGCCTGCTTTCCGAGCCCCTGTCTGGGTCAGGTAAGATACCCTTTCCTCCACCAGTGACGCATGCTGCAGAATGCTCCCTTCTCTGCCCCTGTGTGTGCATGCTGTGTGTGGTGGTGCTGAGGGAGGGAAGCCTGGTCCCAGGTTCAGCCATTCCTCACCTCCAATATTCACTGGAGCCCCGTGCCTCTGGGGAGCTGTGGTCTCAGGCATTCTTGTATCTTAGGAGATTGAGGTTCTATGTTCTCTTCCTTGATTCATGCCAATGCCCGTGGATGTCTTAGCTGAGAAGATACTGTTGCTGTACCCTGCCTTCACTCCCCCCCCCCCAAATTTGATTGTAGATTTTCTATATGGTTGTAGTCAAGGAAACTCTTGGCTTGGTACCACTTAGACCATGAGATAAGGGGAATTCAATCCATGCCATGTCTTGGAGGAAAAAAATAATTCCTACCAGGATATTCCAGAAGGGCTGTCAGGGCACAAATATTTAACTTGCCCAAATATGATTTTGGAAAGGATTGCTGCATTTCTGGAAGTAAGAAGGAACTTAGAAACAAGTTTCCTCGTGTTCCAGCCCACCTCCTTCCTGAGAGTATTGGAACATTCTGGAATGTACAGTCAACTCAATTGTTCACACAGAATCAATGCATTTCAGTAAACATTTCAATGCCCAGTATGGGGTTACCAAGAAGTATGGCATAGAACCTTCCCTGGAAGAATGTGTATTCTCAATATGGAAACAACACATAGATACATATGAACTCATTAGAAAATAATATATAATGGGCTTTATTTAAAAGATCATTTTTTATAAATGGGGGAAAAATAACTATCTCCCCCCTTCCCAACAGAATGTAAGTTTCCTGAGGGCAGGGACTAAGGGACAATTTAGTGTTTGTCTTTGATTTCCCAGTGCCTGGTATAGTGCTCTTCTCTTAGTAGATGTTTAATGATTGCTTGTTGAATTGATTTTGAATTTCAAATGGTAGTATGTAATGGTCTAAGTTGACTACAGCAGTGGACTACACAGACCTAGCAGGTGAAAGCAGGCGCCTGTCTGTGGAAAGGAACAGAGGCCCGGGTGATCCAAAAGGATAACTCAGACATCTCTTCTGATTATTTGGTTTTGTACGTGTTGAGGTACTTCCCTGGAATTAGATATGCTTGCCTGATACTCGAAGAACTTCAAACAATGAAGCCACCTGGGAGGAAAGATTAGAAAACTCTGGCTTCTCCATCCTGCCATAGGGCCCCATTCCATGACTCCTCCAATCTCAAACTAAAGCTTGCTGTGATTTAGGTAGAGGCAGTTAATGGGTTGATTTCCTGCTAGGTGACAGGCTTTGCCCCAGAGTAAGAATAGATGAGGGATAGGTAGAGGGGAAGAAGAGAGAGAGAAATGAATTTAAAAAAAAGAGTAGGTGTCGATGCCAATAAGAACAAGCCACCATGTGGACAATTAGGAAGAGTCATGCCCTTGTTGGAGGATGTTAAAGACTTAGCCATATACTCCATGTAGAGTGTGTGTGGCCTAGGTGGAGCCAGCTTCCCTTCAGAGATGACTAGGACTGAGTTCCCTTTCTATTGTTTGATATGAATGGGTGGGGTCTACAAGGGTTCTATTTCCAATCACTTTTTTTGAGTAGTCAAGTTCAGGGGACAAGGGTGAAAAGTAGGAAGCTTCTTATTGCTGGAGGAGAAAGAAATTTTATGTCGCTCTTTCCCCTCTGAATTTTCTTGACATGTGGAACTTGTTTGTCCAGGGGAGTTGGCAGGATATCAATGCTTGATGCTCGTTAGAGGGAGAAGCCATAAGGGACCCCAGCCAACCTACCAGCCTAGGGAAGAGAAAGCTGCCTTGTCATTTGAATTTAGACATGTTGAAGAATATATCACAACATGAGTGGCTCTGAGGAAGTTGCAGTGGGTGTAGCCCCTCCAAAAAGGGGGTATTAAAGATCCCAGAGAATCTTTGCTCGGGCTCCTCTTTAGGCCGTGAACAAGGTTCCTTTAGTATATGTGAGTGGAGAATCCAGTCCTTGAGTCCCTGGCACTATACCTATGGCTGTGCCTCTAACCATCTCTAGTTCCTGGGCTAGAATGACCACATGATGATCAGTATAACCTAGTGGGAAAATTGATAATTAGATTGACAATCCAGCAACACTGATTTATCTCCTCATAACCCTCCTTTTTATTTTTTCGTTTGAAGGATGAAATTGTCAGTGCCCACCCTTGCCTCTCCTGTTTGAGAGGCAGGAGTTCAATTCAGCTAAACTCAGATCCTGACATTAAAAGATCCCCAGAGAAGGGAAATTTGTTACCCAGGCTCAGTAACTAATCTCAGGGTCAGTAGACCCATGTAATCTTCAATAGCAGATAAAATCTCTAATAGTGCTTAAGAATTAGTGCTATGTAAAACTGAAATAAGCAGCAGACTCTGCCTCAGTGGAAGATGGAAAGTCGAAAGGGAATTCTTTTGGGGGGTGGGGAGTGGGGATGTGTTGAACTCGATGGCCTCTAAGGTCCATTGCATGTCTGAAATTCTGGGACTCCTACCTGCTGCAGTTTTCCTCTTCTTTAGTCTTCAATAAGCATGAATCCCTAGACTCTAGGTAACACGAACCATTCAGTCTATGTCTTATCTATACCATGCTTGTAAGCAGAGGTAGGGTAGGTACATGGGTAGAGGTCTATAGAAAAGTCTCCTGGTCCTTGTTAGCCATTCCATCCCATCACCCAGATGTGTGATGAGTAATGTAGTTGGATAGAAGTGATCAGATGTGATCATATACCAGCATGTGGCATAACAATAACGTCTTCCATCCCTCTCTAAATTCTTAACTGCTTCCAAGGACTTGGTATGAATGGACAGGTCCTGAAGTGGTTCTGTTTCCAGCTATCCCCTGAAAAGCCAAGTTCAAAGGACAGGAGAGTTGGGAGTAATTAATAGAGCTGAAAAGTGTGGATTAAGTATAAGACCATCAGAGTACAATGAAAACAGGACTAGGTTGAGTGGAAGAGACTGGGTATAGCTCCCCAATCAACTATATGACTACCTGTGAAAATTTGAGCAATTTTCTGGGCCTCAGTTTCCTCATTAATAAAATGAAATGATGAGACTAGAAAACTGCAGAGGACCCAGGTCCAAATCAATAATAATATCTACAAATAAGTGCTGGAATGGTAAAATTAATTCTTAAACTTAATGTATTGATTGTGGATTTAGTCGCTGATTATTTTACATATATCAATTCCACGGATTTAGAAGAATTCAAGAATAGACTAGCCAGCTCCTTTATGAGTATTTCCAAAGCTTTTGGAAATTGAAAAAATTGTGGGGGGTGAGGGCAGTGTTTTGTTGGGAATTGCTTGTGCAGATATAAAGAGTAGAGTAGGGGAGATGAGGTCTGTTGAGTCCAGGTAAAAACCCACTTCTCACTCCTTAATTCCCACTTCACTCTTTACCTACCTGCTTCTTTATCCCTTTCTGTTCACAGTTGACCAAAGCATGTTTGAGAATTCTAACACAGCGCCCACCCCAAAGCTGCAGCCAAGCCGCTCCTTCCCCCATCTGTCCAAGTCCACTGCCTCCAGCTCAACAGCCATGGGCCCCCTGGAGCTGAGTGGGCCTGGGCTCCGAGTAGGCAGCAGCCAGCACCTCAAGAACCTGGGGAAGGCTGTGGGAGCCAAGGTTAATGATTTCTTGCGGAGGAAAGAGCCAGTGAATCTTGGGAACACTGCAGGAGTGATGGAGATCAACAAAAATGCAGGAGCCACACTGTCTGCTCGAGGTGATACTCCACCAGGGACCTGGCAGGAAGAAGAAAGGTGAGCAGCAGATTGACAGCCTTGTATTCCCACTGGTCAGTAGAGATGCTGTTAAATGCCTTCATGCCCAGCTCTGTGTGAGGCAATATAAGGCAAACACAAAGAATGTAACACACACACACACACACATACACATACACACACACACACACACACACACACACACACACACACACACCCCTCTGGGAGCTTACAATATCATGGTGTCCCTATCTTTTCCTTGCGATTATGTGGCTCAGTTTTTTGGTATCTAGTAAAGCAAAAAGAGGATTAGGAAGGATTTTTAGGGTTGCATTCAAGGTCTCCAAAGACTTCACACCTTCTATAATGTTTTCCTCAAATGTGGTTTTTGTTTATTTTGTCCTCAAGCTCAGAATTAATCGACAAGAATTTATTAAGTGCCTTCTTTGTGCCAGTCACTGCAGATACAAAGATAGAAATAAAACAGTCCCTGACCTCAAAGAACTTATGTTCTATCAGGGAAGACAACACAAACACGTGTAAAGTGATTTTGGAGGGAGGAAGCAACTGCTTGGATGACCAAGGCTTTTGCCTTTCATAGGAAGTGGCCCTCAAACTGAGCTTTGAAGGAAACTCAGTATTCTAGGAGGGAGGAGTAAGGAAGGAGAGCCTTCCAGGCCTGGAGAACCGTGTGTGCAAAGCAGTAGAGACAGGAGCTGGAATGTTGTGTATAAAAAAGTAATGGGGCCACTTTGGCCAGTCTGTAAAGGGCATGAAGAGGGGGTCTCAATGGAATAAGCCCGAAAGACAGACAGGACAGATTGTAAAAAGCTTTAAACACCTAACAGAGGGATTTTATATGTGATCCTTCAGGGAATGGAGGGCCCACTGAAGTTTGTTGGGCAGAGGATCGATGAGGTCAGATCTGTGCTTTAGGAACATCACTTTGGCAACTTTGTTTTCTCTTTCCTTGTAAGCAAAGATGCTAAATTGTTTTCTTGATTAGAATTCTGAAGCTCATAGGTGAAGTCCCAATAATAAGGTCTGATGTCTACTAATGACATTGAGAAATACCTTGGGCAAGTTCCAGGACTCTGTGTTTCTCTGTTCCTACCTCCTATCCATACACCTGAGAATGCCCTATTTAATTACAGAATCTCAGAATTAGAAGGCACCTCAAGAGAGTCATCCAGACCAACCAATAGCTGACCAATGGTCATTTAGCTTTTCCTTTTAGGCTTCCAATAATGGAACTCTCTATATACCCCAAGGCACCCCAGAAATAGAAGACTAAGAGATTAATTGCACCCAAGGAAATGCCATTGTGTGTCCTTAAAAAGGGGTTCATTTAATTTCTTAAAATCTTACCTTTCTGGTCTGTATAAGCATATACCTTATCTCTCCCACTGGATGGTCAGTTCTTTGATGACAGGTACTATGTCTTGGACATTTTGTATCCTACCTGTAAGGCCCTCAGTAAATACCTATTGACTGAATTTCTGGGATGTTAAGAAATTGCTGTCTATGGTACCTTTTAGCAAGTTGTAGTTTCCTTGCTTATCTCTTTTCATTAAATCTATTTTTGCTTTTGCTTTGTCTGAGGTCATCATTGCTACCACTGCTTTTTTTTTTTAGATTTCAGCTGAAGTATAATAGATTCTGCTCTAGCCCATTACCTTTATTTTGTGTGTGTGTGTGTCTCTGCTTCAAGTGTGCTTCTTGTAAAGAATACATTGTAGGGTTCTGGTTTTTAATCTTCTCTACTGTCCATTTCCATTTTACAAGTGAATTCATCCCATTCCCATCTATAGTTATGATTACTAACTGTGTATTTCCCTTCATACTGTTTTCCCTATTTCTCTCTCTCTCTCTCTCTCTCTCTCTCTCTCTCTCTCTCTCTCTCTCTCTCTCTCTCTCTTTCTCCTTTCACCCTGTCCCTCCTCAAAACTGTTTGGATTCTGACCACTACTTCCCCCAATCTGCTCTTCCTTCTATCAGCCCCTCCCCTTTTGTCTTATCTCCCTTCCTTCCTACTCCTCTGTAGAGTAAGATAGATTTATATACCCAACTGAGGGTGTATATTATTCCCTCCTTCAGCAAATTCCAATAAGAATAAGGTTCAAGCATTGTCTGCCACCCATCCATCTTCAGATCCACTCTAAAAGCTCTTTCATGCTTCTCTTATGTGAGATAATTTACCCCATTCTACCTCTCCCTTCCCTCTTCTCCCAGTGTATCCCTATTTCTTGCCCCTTTATTTTTATTCTGATATCATCCCATCATAGTCAACTCACACCCATGCCCTCTGTCTATGAATACTCTTTTTGACTGCCCCAATAATGATAAAGTTCTTAGGAGTTACAAGTATCATTTTCCCATGTAGAAATGTAAACAGTTAAGCTTATTGAATTTCTTATGATTTATCTTTCCTGATTACCTTTTAATGCTTCTCTTGAGTCATATATTTAAAAATAAAATTTTCTGTTCCTCTCAGATCTTTTCATCAGGAATGCTTGAAAGTCCTCTATTTCATTAAATATCTGTTTTTTCTCCTGAAGTATTATATTCCATTTTGCTGCTTAGGTTATTCTTGGTTGTGATCCTAGCTTCTTTGCCTTTGGAATATCATATTCCAAGTGTAAATATGATATTTACTTTTTTAACATAAAAACTGCTAAATCTTATGTGATCCTGACTGTGGCTTCACAATATTTGAATTGTTTCTTTCTGGCACTTGCAGTATTTTCTTCTCGACCTGAGACCTCTGGAATTTAGCTATAATATTCCTGAGAGTTTTCATTTTGGGATCTTTTTCCAGAGGTGATTGGTAAATTCTTTCAATTTCTATTCTATTCACTGGATCTAAGATGTTGGGGTAGTTTTCCTTTATAACTTCTTGAAATATGATGTCTAGGCTCTTTTTTTGATTATGGCTTTCAGGTAGTCCAATAATTCTTAAGTTATCTGTCCTGTATCTATTTTCCAGGTCAGTTTTTTTTTTCCCAAAGAGATAATTCACATTTTCTTCTTTTTTCATTCTTTTGACTTTGTTTTATTGTTTCTTGGTATGTCACAGAGTCATTAGCTTCCACTTGCCCAATTCTAATTTTTAAGGAATTATTTTCTTCAGTGAGCTTTTGTACCTCCTTTTCCATTTGGCCAGTTCTACTTATTAGAGTTGTTTTCTTCAGTGAATTTTTAAACATCTTCCATTTTTTATGAGGGTCACGTGCACTCTTTCCCACCCTGGAACTGTGACCAGGGTCCCCAGTCTTCTGTGGATGAGAGGTGTGGTGTATTAGCACTCTTCCTCACCCTAGGATTACAACCTGGGCCTGTGACCCAGAACTGTATTTGGGTAATGCAACAGAGTCCTGCACCCACTGCCGGCAGAGTGTCCCCAGTAACCTCCTTCTGAGCAGTTGTTTAGCCCCCTTACTGTCTGGGGGCTCAGAGCTCTGAAAGTCTCTGCTGTAGATTCACATACCCTGCCTCCCACCCTGAAGGCTTGCACTGGCTTGCTCGGGCACTCCCTGTGCTGGACTGTACTCTACTCTCATTCCAGTAAGACATACATTTCCTTTCAACCTTCTGAGTTGTCTTTGGCTGGGAAATTGTTTCACCCTGCTCTTTTGTTAGTTCTCCTGCTCCAGATATCATTTTGAAGCATTCTTTAAAGTTATTTGGAGGAGAATTTGGGAGAGTTTAGTGGAGTTCTGCCTTTATTTCACCATCTTTGCTCTGCCTTTACATACTCTCTTTTAATGAAGCTTAAACTATATTAACTTTTAGCTGTCCTGTCATACCTCTGACTCATAATGAGATACCATTCCACTAAAACTTCACATTTAATGCCATCTGGTCATATCGCCTGTCTTGTACCTGAGAGACAGTGCAGTAGTTGGGGAGCTGGTTAAATATGCCATCTATCACTCACTAGCTCTGGCCATGGACAAGTCACATAACATCTATGGGCCTCCGTTTCCTCATCTATAAAAATGGAAAAAAGTATCTAGAGAAAGGCAGCATGGCTGAGTGGATTGGGGGCCTAGGTTCAGAGTCAGAGAGACCTTGATTCAAAGCCTTCCTATGACGCTTTGTGAATGTGTGACCTCAGGCAAGTCTTTCAACCTCTAAGTGCCCCCAGGCAGCTCTCTAAAGCTGTAAATTGTAGGACGTAGATCATCTTCACTAGTGAAGGAGCTGTCCTCTCTAAAATCAGAAAATCACAAGTCTAAGCAAACAAACAAAAATGCCTATCCTTATGTACCTATCCAGCTGGGCACTGGGAACAAAAAAGAATGAAGATCTATCCCTGCTCTTAAGCAACTGTGATGTATTAAAACATTCAAGAGATGTAGTTTCTCAGTAATTAATCATTTTATTAATTATGCCAGCAGTAGTTAATAAAAGGGGCCAATGCCATTCTTGAATGCCAAAGAACTCCTCATGGAACCCACTCAAGGCTTATATGCCTTTGGAATAGTGAGTGTTCCTGAGGGTGGTAATCAACTATGATTGGTTAACAAGTAATGAGAGAATGAATATTATAATAAGAGATGGGCTTATTCAAATAAGGGTCTGGGGGAAAATGACTGATCACTCAGTCTTGGTCAAAGAGACTTATTCCTTATCCAGACTATCCCACCTATGACAATCTAGGCAAAAGGGGGTCTGCCTCTGCTCAAATCTGACAGAGTGGAACACAGAGTGTCAGAATTCACCTTAAATTCTTTATAAGGTTCTCTAGTTTGATGGGGCAACAGCTCCTCCTGAGGATAGAAGGGCATGTACCCAGGGATTTGAGCAATCTCATCCATCCACAATGTCTTTCAGATGCTGATTTGGCCTATTAGAGAATAAGTTTTCAGAAAAGGAAAAATCCTGGGTCTCTCCAACATTAACAATTAATTATTTAATAGTCATTTCTCTCAGAGCTTACATTTTGCTGAGTGTGATTCACTATGTGTATAGATAAGCATATGCATGATAATTTAAGGAGGAACAGATCTGGAAAGGCTTCCCATCAGGAAATGGTGCATGAGCTGAGCCAGCCTTGAAGGAGGCCTAGGGATTCTGAGATGTAGGAATATGGAGAGAATGCACTCTAGGTATGAGAGAACAGGCCATGCAGATGCCCAGAGGGAAAAGATGAGGTACTAAGCCCTGCAAAAGGCAAGCACACCACTTAAGCTATAAGGACTAAATGAAATCACGTCAGCCCTAAAACACTACATAAAATGCCAGCTATTAATGTGTAGTGTTTTATTTTGTTTGGTTTTGTTTCAACCCAAATGTAGGGGTTTCCATTTATCTTCTTAATTTTCAACTTGATAGATACAATCAGTTTGTCTTATTGAATCTTCTTGACTCTGTCATCTAATTTATTAGCTACCCTTGATAGCTACACCTTCATTCAAGTCATTGATATGGAGCAGGATGGAAAACAGAGCCCTGTGGCTTGCCACCTCCCTTCAAGATTGGCCCAGATCCGTTAGGCAACACTTTTTGGGTACATCCATTCAAAGAGTTAAAAATCTATCTCATTGTATGGTCATCCAACAGAAATTTCTCTATCTCGTTCATATCTTTGAACAAGAGATTTCACCAAATGCCTTATTGAAATCCAGCAGCATTTTTCTAATCTACTAGTCTCCAATAAAAAGAAGTGCAGTTGAGTATGACTTGACTTACTTTTGGTAAACCTAACTTGATTGGTACCAGACAGTGAGAAGAGCCCTGATTTTAGAATTTGAAGACCTGTGTCAGAATCCTGGCTCTGCTACTTAATTACCTGGAGACCTTGGATAAATAATTTAATAGCTTTGAACCTCAGTTTTTCTCATCTGTCAAATGTTGGCCTATCTCTCAGATCCAAGTTCTGTACCACTTCATTTTTTTCTAAGTCCTCACATCATTTACTAACATGGCCTAGAAATTTGCCAAAGAAAGCATCAAGCTTATGAGGTGGTTTCCCAGTATTAGTCTTCCTCCCCTTTTGAATTACCCAGATCATTTCTTCTATCACCTCTCCTTATCTTTCAGAAAGCTTTCAAGATCCCTGGCAGTGACTCAGTGATTGCTTCTACAAGGCTTAAGTGCCTACAGCATAATTTGTCTGGGTTGGGAACTTGAATTTGTTACTTCTCCCCCTCTTCTCCCCCCATAAATCCTTTCCTCCTTCAAACTTTCCTGTCTCTAATAAGGGCACCACCATCTCCCCAAACTACCCAAGTTTATCACTTTAGAATTGTCTTTGACTCATCCCTCCCCTTCATTCTCCTTATCCAATCAATTGGCAAGTCTTCTTCATGCCCTCCTTTCCATTCACACAACCCCATCCTTGTTCTACCATCCACCTTAATCTTGGGCAGCTAAGTGGTGCAGTAGTTAGAGGTAGAACCTAGAGTCAGGAAGACCCAATTGTGTGACCTTGTACCAAAGGTCATTTTTCCTTTTTTAGTAGCTAGCTGTTCTGCAAAAATTCAGGTGCTTACATTAAAACCTTTCTTGGCTCCTTATTTCACCTTTGTTCCTGGTAGTTTAAGAAAAATAATTGGTTTATAGTATAGCAATCAGGCTTGCTCTTGCCCCTTCATAACCCCTGGGTGTAGTACTAGTTTTGTTATTATTATTGGTTTAAATCACCTGAACCCTCTGGGTCTCCTTGCAAAAGGGGGGCCTGCAGAATGAAAATTCCCTGAAGGGAGCTTCACCTCTGCTGTTTAGTATTGATTTTCAAAGAGGATGGTAATAGATTTACTGTACTCTGCCTCCATCAGGCCATCTGAAGTATTGTATTCATTTCTGGGCACCTTCATTTTAGGAAAGACTTTGGTAAGCTGGAAAAATGTCCTGAGGAATATTCTCAGGTTAGTTAAGGGTCTTAAGTTCATATCATGTAAGAACTGATCGAAGGAACTGGGTGTTCATCCCAGAGAAGAGACGAAAGACTTACAAGGAGGCATGTGTGCTGTTTTTGAATGGGTATCATTATATTTGTTCACTTAGTCACAAGGCCAGAAGTAGGAGCAGTGGATAGAAGTTGCAGAGGCACAGTTAAGGTTGCCTATAAAGAAATACTCCCTAATTGTTAGAGCTGCCCAGAATTAGACTGGGCTGCCTCAACAGGCAGTGGGTTCCCCTAGGTGGGAGTCGGCAAGCCAAGGGTGGACAGACACTTAGATCCACCAAGAAGGACATTCTTTTCCAGCTATGGGTTGACTGGGTGCTTCCTCAGGTCCCTTCCAACCTTGACATTCTATGATTCTCAGAGTCCCACTCTCATGTACATTGGTTTTGTGTTCAGTTCTAGGCATTTTAGAAAGCACATTGATAAGTTGGAGCCAATCCAGAGGAGAGGGTGACCAGGATGGTGAGAAAGAGGATTTGATCAATGAGACAAAAATCATTAGAAATACCTGGAGATGTATAGCATAGAAAAGAGAATGCTTAGGGATAGCTAGCTTTAATTGTCTGAAAATTTGCCATATGGAAGTGGGGCAAGATTTGTTTTTACTAGGAACAATGGATTGAAGTCACAGAGAAGCGTATTTCAGCTTTATATCAAGAAAAAACATCTTGCTAATAATTAAGCTTTCCAAAAGTAGAAGAGATAACCTTCGAAGACAGTGAATTCTCCTGCATTTGGAGTTGTGAGTGGAGGCTGTATGCCTTTGGTAGGGACATTGTCGACTGAATGTTTATTCACTTACAAATCTGCATATTCACTGACATCTATTCCAACTCTGAGCTTTTATGAGCCTAAGCAGCCTCTGAACTATAGATTTATTTTTATTCAGATTTCCTCCCTACTCTTTTCCTAAGGGGTGGGGGAGTGGTGCAGGATTCCTAGTCAATTCCCAGATCATCTCTGTGTCCCTTCTTCCTCTGGCTCACCATGCCCCAGCTCATCCCTTTGGGTGTCTGTGGTTTGACTGGCAGCATCATTTAGATTCTCATTCATTTCCAGCTTGCCAACACTGCTGGAGGTTGTCTCTGGGTGGCTTGTGGCCCACTTGTAAGTCTCTAAGTACAGTGATCCCTCCAAGGTCACACAGCCAGCATGTGTCAGAGATAGGACTTGAACCCAGGACTGCCCTGGCTCTGAGGACAGGAAGCACTCTTTATTGGATCACATTGTCTTACAATGGGCAGAGAAGTAGGGCAGGCACATTGGGGTCATGCTGAGCAAAGGTAAGCGGAGGACATGCCTTGAGTACAAGGTTGGCTCATGGGGCAGAGCAGGCCAGTGTGGCCTAGAGCAGAGAGTGTGTGAGGGGGAGGAATAGGAGATAAGATTGGAAAGCTATGTTGGCACCAACAACTTTCAATTCCAAGCAGAGGAGGAGTTTGAAATTTACTCTGGGCTGTATGGAACAGCTAAAGATTTTGGAATAGGCAAGTGACCCAACCAGATTTGTACATAAAAAAGGTTCTTCTGGTTGTGAGAGATCTGTCTGGAAAAATAAGTTAGAACCAGTTGCTTCCATCTTCTGAGTATGTCTTTTAAAAATACAAATTTATCAAAAGTAAGCCAAAAAAATAAAAGTAAACATTGTTAAGGTTATCAGGAAACAAACACTCTGATACATTTTTTTAATATTTTTTTTATTTTCAACATTCACTCCCATAAGATTTTTGAGTTTTAAATTTTCTCCCCCACCCACTTCTTCCCCCTCACCCCAAGACAGCGTACAAACTGATATAGGCTCTATGTATACATTCACGTTAAGCATATTTTCCCATTAGTCATGATGTAAAGAACAATTAGAACTAATGGGAGGAAACACAAGAATGAAGCAATAAAACAAAACTACAAAGGAAAAGGAAAGCAAATAGAATGCTTCCATCTGCATTCAGACTCCATATTTCTTTCTCTGGGTCTGGATAGCAATTTCCTTCATGAGTCTTTTGGAATTGTCTTAGATTCTTGCATTGCTGTGAAGAGCCAAGTCTATCAAAGTCAGTTATCCTATAAAATGGCTGTTGCTGTGCACAATGTTCTCCTGGTTCAGCTCATTTCATTTTGCATCAGTTCATGTAAGTCTTTCCAAGTTTTTTGAAGTCTGCCTGCTAATCATTTCTTATAGTATGTCATATTCCATTACATTCATATTCCACGACTTGTTCAGCCATTCCCCAGTTGATGAGCATCCCCTTAACTTCCAATTCTTTGCTACCACTAAAAGAGCTGCTATATATAATTTTTGTACACGTGGGTCCTTTCCCTGTTTTTATGATCTCATTGGGATACAGACCTGGAAGTGATATTGCTGGGTCAAAGGGTATGCACAATGTTATAGCCCTTTGGGCATAGTTCTAAATTGCTCTCCAGAATGGTTGGATTATTTCACAACTCCACCAACAATGCATTAGTGTTCCAATTTTCCCACGTCTTCTCCAACATTTATCATTGTCCTGTTTTGTCATGTTAGCCAATCTGATAGTATGATGCAGAACCTCAGAGTTATTTTGATTTGCATTTCTCTAATCAATAGTGATTTAGAGCATTTTTTCATGTGACTATAGATAGCTTTAGCTTCTTCCTCTGAAAACTGCCTATTCATATCCTTTGACCATTTATCAGTTGAGGAATGACTTGTATTCTTATAAACTCTGATACATTGTTAAGGGCATTATAAACTGGTACAAATGTTTCAAAGAACTTGATAATCTAGAGTATAAGTCACAAAACAAGAAAAAAAGGTTCTCCTGGCAGGGGTATGCACAATGGATTGGAGGAGGGAGAGGATAATGGTTCACAGTTATATACAAGGGGTCTCAGTTTCCACATACGTAAAATGAAGATTAGATTTCTAAGGGCCTCTTTATTTCTGAATCCTGTGATCCTAAGGGCTTTTCTCACAAAAAGTCTATAGGGTAGATAGTGTAATTATAATCTCCATTTTATAGGTGAGGGTAGGAGAGCTGGGGTTCAGGATATTAAGTCACTTGCCAGAGATCACACACTAGTAAGTGAAAAGATTTATTGAAAATTAATCTTTATTATTGTTTTCCTTGTAGGTCAGCTCTGTTGGAAGCATTCCCCCGCCTTGATCCGCCTCCTCCTGTGACCAAGAAGCGCACCCCTAGGACCCTGAAGAGCCCCCAAGACATGCTGATTTCTCCCCAGCCTGTCATGAGCAGCCTGGAGTATGGGGCAGAGCTGTTGGCTGGGCCACCCCAAGAGGCACCTTCCACGGTGCCTAGCCCGAGAGAGGTGGCCTCCAATGACAGCCTGGGACCAGAGGGTCCTGCAGAGATAGGGCCAGGGAGTGAGGCCCTGCTCAATGGAGAGGGCCCCTTGTCGGTGCCAGATCTCATCCACAAGGACGCTCAGAGTGATTTCAAGCTGAGGACAACCGAGTGGAGAAGGGCCTCCTCCCCGAGCCTTAGTGAAAGAAATGGCCTTAAACTCAGTCCGGGTTCTATTGGCCTGACTGAGCCCCAGGAAGATGGCAGCCCCCCACCTCGGGCAAGGACCACCAGCCTTGACAATGAGGGACCTCACCCAGACCTACTGTCCTTTGAGTAGATCTTCCATTCCCTTGCCCCCAAAGGAGCACCACAGTCCCTCCTCTAATCTGGGAAAAGAAGTCCCTGCCTTGTTTTCCCACTGTCCAGGGAGGTCCTTTCTCGGGCTCCCTCTCCCCCTTTAAACACCACACTTGAAGGCACTACCAGGTTTCCAGGTCAAGATCCTGCCTTGGGCCAGGAGCTTCCAGACCCGAGTAGCCTCCTAGTAGTAGCTTTGCTTGTGTCTAGATGGTTTTTCTGTCCTGGGGAGGTGGGGGGGAGGGGAGGTTAACTCCTATCATGTTGTAGTCCCCCACACTTCCTCGGTGTCTCCCCAGTGCTGTTCCATGCCCATTCATCCTCTGTTGCACCCATACAGAGTTGGAACGATGGTACAGGTCACATTTCACATTTCACTTTGACTTATAAGTGATACTTAATAAAAAGTCCTCTTGATGCTGGCAGTAATCCTCAGGAACATGCTGGCCACACTTCATTATTCTGATGAATGCACAAGCCCCCAGGTGATGAGACCAGTCTAACCAGAATCTCCAGAATTCTGTCTCTGGAATGTGGCTCACTTTTCTGCTGGAGACTTGGGTTCCTGTCCCTCCACTCCCTTCTGGTGGTGGGGCTTCCCATTTCCTACCTTGATGTCCATGGACAGCCTAGGAATTCCCTCGGGGCTCAGTCCATCTTGAGAGAGGGGGCTCTCCATGGGCTGAGGCCGGGAATTTGCAATCACATCAACGCAGGCAATGACTGCTCTGGCTTGATGATGGCTACATTTGCCTTGAAAGCCATATACTGTAGCCTGAACCCCAGCAAAAAGGTGGCCTTAGGTGTGGATCTGTGGGGAGCCCACCGTCCACTCTCCACTCATCATCTCTGTTCTCTTTGTTCAGGTAGGAAGAGAGGGAAGCTGGGAAAGCTGTTTGCTAAGTTTGAGCACCAGCCTCTGAGCTGCCTGCCCTATTTAGCTCACCACTCTTCACAAGGGACAGCAAGTTGTTAACTGGGGTCTTCCTGGAGTCAAATATTGAAGTAGGCCCTGAAAATGCCCCTAACTAAGCCTGCTCGGTTTTTTCCCTTCTTCCTTCCTTGTGGGCCCTTCCAATTTGGGCAAGATGATTAATTGGAAACTTTATGCCACTACCTGTGCTTTAAGCTCTCATTCCATCATGAGGGAAGGTAGCACCTACCTCCCCAGGTGAAGGAAGCCAGGGCTGAGCAGGCCCCAGCAGAAAATATCACAGGAATGAGATCTTTTTTAATGCCTTTTATAGTGCAAAGGTTGGCATTCAAGGAAATGGCTTGGTGAGGTCCTGTGATGACCAAACCCTTTGAGCTATATGTTCCCAAAGCTGGTGGGAAGAATGGGGTTGGTTTCTAAGACCCAGAACCATGGAAGGAGAGTCAGGAAAGCTTTCCAGCACTTTTGGAATTGGCCTTTTGGAATTGATATGACATGCGAAAAGGATAAAAAAAACTTGGTTGGGTCTAAGTAAACGTATATGCATATATTTTGAGAATCAAAGGTGAGGGTACAGTATGTGAGAGAAGGATTGGAGTGAGATGTGAGAGAGATGGGAAGTCATTAATAGTGTGGTTTTATCCCCTGCCAAACCACTTTTAACCAATGAGAAGGTCTGTGGCAAATGCTGGCACCCCTAGAGTCCTACTTTGTCCATAGAGAGGTCCCAGGCCTGCTCTTCTCTTGTCTCTGTTCAGGGCCTTTAGCTCACTTTTTCCACCTGCTTCCAGGACCCACCAAAGCTATCCCTGGTTATCAGGTGCCACCTTCTGAGTTTATAACACATTGTTTGTTCCTGTTTCCCACCAGGAGCCTTGGGGTGCTGCCTTCCTGTAGCCAAGAGACTGTGTAAAGGGGTGAGCCCAAGCCAGGCAGCATGCACATCGAGAAGAGACCAGGCCTCTTTCAGGAGGAGGGCATCATTTCCGAGGGAGGGGCCTGGGTGGGATTCACATCCTGAGAGAAAGCAGCTTTCTGGGAACCTTCTGCTAGCCTAGTTCTCCCTCCTTCCTGTTCCTGTGCTGGGATCCCTCTCCCCTCTGCCTTTACTTTTCATCTGCCTCTGCAGCTGACTTTCCTGAAGGATTTAAGGGACAGCAGCAGCCTTCTTCTTTGCTGCCCTATCCCCAGGTGCTACCTCTCACTTTATAGACAAAGAGGTTGGAAACTATTGAATGCATCCCTGAGAAGTGGGCTGCCTCTCATCCCATCTTTGCCACCATCCGGGGTGATTTTCTCATCCACTCTCTCTGCCCTTCTACCCCAGCATCCATTTCAAGCTAAATCAGAATGGGCTTCCCCCATCCCTGTATAAACCTCACCTCTATCTCCTCAGAAGACTAGTCCTGGACCTCAGCTCCTATTGGACATTAAAGGCCTTATGACAACTATTGGAGAGTGCCAGAGATAATCCAAACACCAGAGCATGGCCTTATTTAGCCTCAATGTGTCACAGAAATGTAGTGTGACCAGACCACTAAGCAGAGTTGACCCCTGCATGTGGTCTTCCTGGTAACTTGAGGTTTCCCAAGATGGGTTCATGGTTCTTGTGTGGGTGGTAAGGGGACTGTAGATCTGCACCTGAAGGGTACTCCCAATCTGAGCCTTGGCCCTCCATGCCAGCAGCTAGGCCTGCATCTCTGAGAAATAAATCAATGAGGAGATTGCCTTCCCAGGTAATCTTTCTATTACTTTGGCCCTATCTCTCTTCAGAGACCATGGTAGTAGAAGCCATGGATACAAGTGTGGCTTTTTTTTTTTTTAGCAACTATGCCCTTTACCTTTCCTCCATTCCAAAGCTGTTGTCATTAGCCACAGAGTGCCTGTCCAGGTCTGGAGCAGAGCCTGACCCAGTTGAGGTCTATTGGTTTTTGTCTTCATTTGTCATTAAAAGTCATTACAGGGTTCCCACATAAGTGTATCCAGGACATGGAATCAATGAAGCCAGGCATCTCTCCTATTTCTATTTAGTCTCTCAGTGGTCTCCATCCCCTCCCTCCTTCTCCCTTGCAAAACAGGGTGTTCTACCTACCTCACCAGGACCCTCAGAAGCTAAAGTCTGGAACCTGCAGATTCCCTCTTGAAGGATCAATGTCTAGTCTGAACAATTACTTTAAAACTTCCAATCGTCAAGAGAGACATTTAGGTCATGTTGCCTTTTCTACCCAAATTACCAAGTGATTTCCTGTACCCACCTCAGTTGTCTGCCATCCAAGAAGTGGAGTTAAGTTAATGCAAATCACTAATGCAGACAGTGGCCTCCTTTGGGTGGCTTTGGAAGCCCAACTTCTCAGGAAGGGAGGGTGATCTAGAGAGAAGGAGAAGGATGGAAAGGGCAAGTCTCAACTCTTCAAAAATGAAGAGATAAGAGATGGCTTATTTTCTTTCCCCATTACTCCTCTATACCCACTTTGGTCTGCATATCTAGATATATGCCCTGGTCTGTACCCAGAAACATTTCTATCATGAGAGTTTTTCCAAGCATCGCCTGTATGACATAGACCATCAAAGCTGAAATGGTCTTAGAGCTCCTCTGGTCCAATCCCTTTGTTTTGAGATGAGGAAAAGGACCCAGAGAGAGGAAGGAAAGGTGGCAGAGCTAGTCAATGGCAGAGCCAAGATTGGAATCCATGCCTCCAGACTCCAAATTGGAGCAGTCTTTTCACTATGACGCATTGCACAAATGGAAATGTATATGTATATTGCTCATGTGGAAGCATATGTATATGTGTTATATATGTGGATATCTAGACAGACGTGTATCGAATCTTTTTAATGAATGGAGGTGGGTGGGAATCTTTGGTTGGATTCAGTTGTAGGGAGGAAGAAAGACATCAGATTGATTGTTTCTATAGAGTCTATATATTTTTAGTAATTTTCTGTAGAAAGCAGCTGATTGCACAATAAAAGTGTTTGGTTTTCTTTCCTGACAGTGATGGGGCTGGCTTGTTTCTTTCAGGGGAGGGGGGGAAGCTAATCTGATGAGGAGTAATAGCATTTTCCATTCTCAGGTGGCATAGTAAGGAAAGTGAAGAAGGCAACAATCCATTGCTCCCTCATTCACAAGCAAGGCGAGGGTCTTATGGGCTACTCCATGGTTCATCATTTCAATGAGTAGGTAATTCTGAGAGTGCTTCTCTTTCCTCTTCCCCCAGGGATCACATGGGACCACAGACCTATACTTTGAGGGCAACTTAGAGGTCATCTAATTTAACCCTCTCATGACCAATTTTTTTTTTATTCTGAACTTAACACCAAGTAAGATGAGCATTTCCATATACAAAACAAGGCAGAGAAAGACTGCACATGGAGCCACAAATCTTTTACAGGTAGCTTTTCCTCAACCAAGTACAAGACAAACTGAGTATGTTATTTCCAAAGCTCTCCTCCACATCTGTATCGCCTACAATCCTTCCTTCTGTTTCCTTTTGTGCATTTTAAAAAATGCTTCAATTACCCTCTTTTCTTTCTCCCCATTTTGGTAACTCTATAGCTACCTAGGGCCCACTCATTCTCCCACTCAAAACTGAAAGAAAAAACAAAACCTGCATAACAAATATTCATAGTCAGGCAAAACAAATGTGGGCAAATCCCCACATTGGCCACGACCAAAAAAAATATATCTCATCATGCCCCTGGAGCTCTTCATTTCTCTTTCAGAGGGTAGGCAGCATGTTCCATCAATGGTCCTCTGGAATCATCTACCCTGTCAACTTATGTATGAAACTGAGGCCCAAAAGAATGAAGTGACTTTTACAAAGCCACACAGCAAATGAAAGAACAGGGATTTAAGCTTAGGAGCCATCCTCTCCACTGCACCACCCTACCTCCCAATCCTCAATTAGATGTGAGTAGATTAGTCCCTGTTCTGGCAGAAGTTATTATATGAGGTGAGGCTGGTAGCTTGATCCTAATTTTCTTTTTTTTTTTTATTCAATTTTATCTTCAATGCCATCCATTAAGAAAGCAAGAAAAACAAATTTTGTTACCAAAATTATAGCCAAGCAAAACAAATTCCCATGTTAGTTATGTCCATATACATGTGTATGTATATATGTGGATGGACGGATAAATAGATAGATGGATGATAGACAGATGAGATTCATGAGTCTGTGGAACTGTGGTTGGTTCTCCGTTATGTTGCTAATCCTACTTTTCTGAGTGTCTTCTTCCCCATTACGCTAGGTTATCCTCTGCCTCCACAGGCCTGACAAAGAGGGAAAGAATCATTTGTCATCTGGGCCTTCAGTAAATCAGGATCTGTTCTCCATGCTTACAGATAAGGGGCATGGCTGTGAGGAAGAAGGAAGATGTGGGAGGGGGCAATGGTTTGAAGCCTCCCTGTCCTAATGTTACCCCAACCCTGCTTCAGATCCTGTCCTTAAGGGGAACTCTAGTCATAGCTGGCCAACTCTTTTATCATGCTTTCTTGAAAAGAGGGGGAAAAGGGAAGCAGCAGAGAAAAGAAGAGGCTTTGAGGATCAACCTATTTGCAGTGAGCTTTTCTAAAGGGAAAAAGGTAGGCCATGTTGGGGCAGGCTTCCTATGTCCCTGGGTCTGATCCAGTTGAGTGACCCTACAGTCATGGGAAAACCTGGCCCCAATTAAGTTGATCTGAGGCAGTCCTTAATGGGTCTTTCGCCTCCCCCCCCAATTTGATTACTGAGAAGGCATTGAAGTAGAGAGCATTCCAGCTCTACTATAGAATGAAACTGTGCCCTATCACATTGTGGGACAGACCAGCCCCAAGGAAGCCAAAATTGCCCCAGAGACCAAATCAACTCGTCCCACTGCACATCCATGGGGAAAGAAAAGGGGCAGGACAATTGCTTGCAGAAAGAGCTGCTGTTGTGCCAGCATGGGCTGCTGGGAATGTTCATTAGGGACCCGCCAGTCACCTATGGGACCTGGGGGCTAGTCTTAGGCTTTGCTGCTGAAGTTATTCTGTGTACACAATGCTGGTGGTCCTGTGGTCATGGAGCATGTGAGTTCGTGCGGGTGTGCACGCACACACACAAACACACATTTTCGTTCTCCTCTCCCTCCACACACCCCTTCCATTTCTTCATCACCACAGCTTTGGGCTGACATCCAGTATGAAACCATCACAGCACACAGGTTGGTTTGAAGAGAATGAGGAGAAAGCAAAGGAGGTTATTTAACAGTAGCATTCTCGTGTTTGCTGCTTCTCCAGGGCGTGTGGGCAGGGGAGGTTGTAGGAGTGGGGATATCCAGCCCCGCGGAGAGTCTGATGAATGTCTAGAGTCCATGGGGAGATCTCAAGGGGCATTCTCCCACCCTCAAATTCTAGGCAGCTCTAGAATCTGGGGGGCTGAAGACTTTTGTGTAGCACATCTCCAGGGACTCAGTTACTCTGGAGACCACTGCTCTGGACCTGGCCTTCTCCAGGTCTGGTCAGCTCAGCGTGGCCCTCTCTGCCTTCAGAATCCTCTGAAAGTCAGTTAATCTTGTTTCCCTCCTGGTGCCAATATCTCAGAAAGTCACCAAGAGACATCACAATGGTTTAGATCATAGGCTCAGACTGGATGAGCAGTTGAAAGAACTGGGGGTATTCACCTTTAAGAAAAGAAGACCAGTAGAGACATGATTGCTGTCTTCAAGTATCTAAAGGATTAACAGGTGGAGGAAAGATTCAATCTGTCCTTTTGGCTTTATTGGGGTCAGCTGAGAGCAACAGTGGAAAGTGGTTGTAAAGAAGGTGATTCTAGAACCACTTTCCCCTCCCTGCACACCCAGCCTACTCAGAGTGTCTTGAATTTCCCAGGTGAAAGGGTATAACCTGTAGTGACTGGAAGGCTTGTTGGCACAAGCTCCAGGCCTTCCTAAGGCTCAAGGATAGGGCATCCTGTCCTACATTAAGCTGGCTGTGAAATCTTTACTTTGGTTACCAGGAGGTAAGGGACTCTTACTGTGAATGTTCAATTGTTTTTCTCCTGTGGGCACCTACATCACCTTATAGATGCATGCTGTCAAAACCACATATTTTTCTTTCTTTTTTCTTTTTTCTTTTTCCTTTTATTTGGCTAGGCAATGGGGTTAAGTGACTTGCCCAGGGTCACTTAGCTAGTAAGTGTCAAGTGTCTGAGGTCAGATTTGAAGTCAGGTCCTCCTGACTGAAGGGCCAGTGCTCTATCAGTGCTCCACCTAGCTGCCCCTCAAACATCGCATATCTTCCCTCCGTACGTGTTCTCGTGTGTGTGTGTGTGTGTGTGTGTGTGTGTGTGTGTGTGTGTGTGTGTGTGTCTTCCTCTCTGTTCCTGCCTGTCTCTCTCAGCTCTATTAGGGAGCAAGGGAAGGGAATAAGCATTAAAGCAGCACCTACTATGTGCCAGGTACTGCTCTAATGACTTTATAAATATCTTGTTTGATCCTCACAACAACTCAGTGAGGTGGGTGCTATTACCCCTGATTTGCAGTTGAAGAAACCGAGGCAGGCTGAGATTAAATGGCTTGCCCAGGGTCACTCAGCTAGAAAGTGAGGTTGTATCTGAACTCAGGCCCTGCTGACTCCAGGCCCAATATTCTATCCACTGTGCCACTTAAACAGCCAACAACATGGTAGTACTGTGCTTAAGGTTCACAAAGCACTTCCCTCAGAATAACTGGGAGTGGGAGGAGGTAGACAGTGCAAGTATCTGCTTTTTATGTTTTAGAAGATGGGCTCAGGGAGTCCATAGGATAATTGCATTGGAACTGCAGCAAAGCTTAATTTTTCCTAACTCCAATTCCTGTGCCCTTTACGCCTGCCATCTTAGCTTTTTCACTGCCCATAAGAAAACCTGCTCTGAAGATTTCAATTTAACTCGGCCAGAGACAACATCAGTAAGAATTCCACCCTCTCCCATCCTTAGCCTTACCTCATGGGGTAGAGGTATCCCTGCCATTGGTGTCAAACAATGGAAGCCCAGAGTTACAACTGACTTCCCTTCTAATGAGAAAATTCCTACTACTCTGGTATCCAGGACCCATATCTCCAGTGACACAAATCCTCTTTATCTTCAGCTTATCTTCAGCTGTTACCTCATCCTGGACAGGCTGGAAGAGCCCCTCCACTGAAGCCCGTCATCTGCTTATCCACCAAAAACACTCGAGGTGATATTAATGCCCCAGCTGATACATACCAGGCAAGATTCCCCCCTTGTGGGAGTTGCCTGTAGAATCTGTTGGGTTACACAGAGAAGGAGCTGGTGCCAGTATTTCTCCCTCTGAATAGATAAATACAAAATAAATAACCACCCCACATTCTGCAGCAATCCTTTTTTCTCTTTAACTATGTTTATCCAGTCAGCTGTCTCTAATGCCATCTGCTAGCTACCCAGTTTCTTAAAGCATCTTCCAATTCATTTGCCACCTTCTCATTTTTGAACTGGTATATTTTTGAGGTAGCTCCCTGAGATAGAATTGAATTGCCAACACAGTGAAACAATCTTCCCAGCTAAAAGGAGAGAAGAAAGAACACAGGGAGTGTTCTCACACAAGCCAATGAAAGCCATTCACTGGTAAGCATGTTAGCACTTCCCAGAGTATCCAGTTAATGAGTCCTGCCAGGTTCCTGAGCCAGGATGGGGGTGGAGGTTGATTAATGTAGATCCCTAAAGCACTACTTTTAAAGTTTCACCACAATCCTCTATGGAACATTCTAATCCTCTATTCCACAATGGCCTTGATCCCCTCCTGGTGCCAAGAGGCAGCACGGCGCTTATGTTCATAGGCCCAAGCAATAGGAAGGTCATTTGAAGGAACCAAGGATGTTTATCCTGGAGAAGAAGTGGCTTAGGGGAGACATGATAGCCATCTTCAAGTATCTGAAGGGTTAATGAAATGGAAGAGGGATTAAATTTATTAATCACCCCTCCTCCCACCAAGGAAGAAGGAGGGGCAGTAGATGTGGTTAGCAAGAGGTAGATTT